GATCCAGACGTCTGACTAACGTTAGCTCAGCTTGTTTCTCTGATAACTTAAGATCCAGACGTCTGATGCTAACGTTAGCTCAGCTTGTTTCTTTGATAACTTAATATCCAGACGTCTGATGCTAACGTTAGCTCAGCTTGTTTCTCTGATAACTTAATATCCAGACGTCTGACGCTAACGTTAACTCAGCTTGATGCTCTGAATAATAGTAAAGCATTTTCACGTTTGATCGTAACTCAAGTAATTATATGACACCTCTGACGCTGTAGCAGGAGCTGTTCGATATGAAATGATTCTTAAAACATCTCCAGTGGTGAGACTAAACCTGAGAGCTTCAGACAAGGTGAAAAGCATCAACAAACAGGAAGTGAAGAGCAGTAAAATAAATATCAGCCAATCAAATAAACCCAGAAAACAGGAGAAAATAATAACAACATGAAAAAGATCTGATGCTTCTTTTGCACCATTTTGAACAAAGAAAGGACCAGAAATAAAATGGTGTCTGGGAGGAAGAGGAGGGAGAAGCTGAGGGGAGTTTAAACTGAACACTGCAGCTCAACACTGTCTTCCTGCTGGACAGTCTACTGCAGGACACACTGCACTGACTGCACTCACTGCAATCATTGCAGGACACATTGCCCTCATTGCAGGACACACTGCACTCACTGCAGTCATTGCAGGACACACTGCACTCACTGCAGTCATTGCACTCACTGCAGGACACACTGCACTCACTGCACTCATTGCAGGACACACTGCACTCACTGCATTCACTGCACTCACTGCAGGACACACTGCACTCACTGCACTCATTGCAGGACACACTGCACTCACTGCACTCATTGCAGGACACACCACTCACTGCAGGACACATTGCCCTCATTGCAGGACACACTGCCCTCACTGCACTCATTGCAGGACACATTGCCCTTATTGCAGGACACACTGCACTCATTGCAGGACACACTGCACTGACTGCACTCACTGCACTCACTGCAGGACACACTGCCCTCACTGCACTCATTGCAGGACACATTGCCCTTATTGCAGGACACACTGCACTCATTGTAGGACACACTGCACTGACTGCACTCACTGCACTCACTGCAGGACACACTGCACTCTTTTTTCCTGCAGTTTCTCAGAGCTGAAGTGTTCAGTTTGACTTCCTGTGTCGGGCCGGTGAGGTTAACGTCTCGCTGCCGGGTCGTCATGCTTGTTTCCATGCCGACCACCAACCAGCCAATCACCAGCATACCAGTCCGGTTATGGAGGGCGACGTCCTGCCCGTCAAGTGACCTGGCGAGGGGGCAGGGCTTAGACTCAGCTCATCCAGAGGAGGTTTAGGAGGAAGGAGGGGGGTCAAAGGTGAGATCACAGAGGCTCCGCCCCTACGTATGAGGTCACTGTTGATGGGCGGTTCTGACGGTGATGTCGGCGTCTTCACCTCTCGGATGGTGATTAACGGTCCCCCCGTGATGACATCATCAGCGGTGGACAGCGGGATGATTCTGACCGGCCTGCTCATCCCCGTACGCACCGTCGTCACGATGACGTCGGAGCTGTCGTCTGTTATCGTCATGGTAACGACCCTCCCGGAGGCCGTGTCATAGCTCCGCCCCACGGTGTAGCTCTTCTCTCTGATTGGCTGAGGAGAAGCTTGGTTCGCTATGAAGCCGCCCTCCTGGAGCGCACAGATGAGCAATATGAAACGCACACAGACTGACCGACCAATCATGAGACAGGTGAGCTCAGTAACACCTGTTTGTGTTTGACTGACAGCTGAGTGGACCTACCGCTGATGAGCTGCTTTCCAGTGGAAGGGCCTGAGAGACAGACAGACAGACAGACAGAGAGACAGACAAACAGACAGACAGACAGACAGACAGACAGACAGACAGGACAGAGAGAGACAGAAAGAGAGAGAGACAGACAAGGAGACAGACGGACAGAGACACAGACAGACAGACAGAGAGACAGACAGACAGAGAGACAGACAGACAGACAAGGAGACAGACGGACAGAGACACAGACAGACAGACAGAGAGACAGACAGACAGAGAGACAGACAGACAGACAGTGTTTGTAGAATAAACAGCTGCTCTGTTTAATGTAACAATGAGTTCTGTCTCACCTCTTCTGGTTCCAGAGGTTCGATCATCGGTGAGTCGTCGACTCGTCGTAGAGGTGAGGAGGCGAGACGTTTCTCCCACTCTGTCATCCCTCCTCCTCCTCCTCCCTCTAAGAAGGAGCGTCTCAGAGCACTGATGGAGGTCTGAGGTCTCTGCTCCTCCTCTGGACTCCCCATCGTCTCCTGGAGACAGAAACAAAGTGAGTCTCATGGAGACGACGTCATGATCCATAACAATAAAACCAGGTTTACCTGAGTCCTCAAGTCCTCATCCTGATCAGACTGCCAGACAGACAGACAGACAGACAGACAGGGTGTTGTTAGAAGGGTTTCCATCCACAGACAGGTTTCACTTTTATTTGATATTTAATCTGAAATAATCTTCAAACCTCAGTCAGATCTCCGTCCACAGCGGTGTCAGTGAGCTCCATCTGCACACAGACAGATCCTCATCAATATACGTTGTATGTGAAACAGGTAGACAGGGGAGACAGGGGACATAGGTGAGACAGGTGAGACAGGTGTTTGTTACCTTGGTTTCCTGCTTCTGAGGAGTAGGAGGACTCTCCGGAGAGATCTCTGTCGCTCTGGTCTCCTCCTCTTCCTCCTCCTGCTGCACCTCCTCCTCCACCACCAGCACCTCCTCAACTAGGAGATAGGAGACAAAGAAGCAAGGAGAGGACACGAGAGAACAAGGAGACAAGAAGACGAGGAGGAAAAAAGGAAACCAGAAGAGACAGAAGGAGGCGTCATTTAGTGCTTCGGTCACCTGATCTAACGTCTCTCCTCTGATTGGTTGTTGTCTGTACCTGTCTCCACCCTCCTCTCCTCCATTGTCCTCTCAGGTGTTATCGTGGTGATGAGGTCACTGACGGCGATGAACTTAGACGCTCCGTACAGACCGGCTCCCATATCTACACACACACACACACACACACACTGTGATGTCAACAACAACAAGGACGATAACGCTCAGGCGCATGCAAGGCAGCCCGGGCCAATCAGCCAATTAGCATTCAGAACCACCACGAAGCCATGACCACACGGCCGTGCTAACAGCGCTAACAGTGCTAACAGCGCAGAAAAAGTTCGCAAACATAGCGATGCTAACTATGCTAATAATGCTAGCTGAGAGAGTCAGACCTCCTTCCTGTCGAGTTCACAAATAAAACAACAAAAGACGGCTCGAAAGGGGTGGCGCTAAAGAAGAAATTAAATGTTTATTTCTGACTTCGTGTCTCGTCGTGTTATTGACGACAGGATCGAGGTCTGACATCATGTGATGACTTCACCAGAAACAGAAGAGCTGATTGGACAGAAATAGACAGCTGATCACAGATGTGTCTGAATGAAGCAGAGCTCATCCAGCCAATCAGGAAGCAGCATTCGCTCATGAGCTGAAGGAAGTGAAGCATTCAGAGCTGTGGCCAATCACAGAGCTGTACTACTACAGTACTACTACAGTACTAGTACAGTACTGATAAAGTACTGATAAAGTACGACTACAGTACTACTACAGTACTAGTACAGTACTGATAAAGTACTGATAAAGTACGACTACAGTACTACTACAGTACTACTGCAGTGATGAGCGCTACCTGTGTGTGTACCACCGTTGGCTTTAGGGGACGTTGTGATGGCTGGAGAGCCAATCAGAGGGGATGTGGGCGTGGCCATCGGAGCTGAGGACCAATCAAAGCTCTGGTCACCAGCAAGTACAAGAAAGAACTGACCTAACACACAGCTGTACTCCTGAACCTGAACCCTCAAAACCTGAACCCCAAAAACCTGAAGCCCCAAAACCTGAACCCCCAAAACCTGAATCCTCAAAACCTGAACCCCTAAAACCTGAACCCTCAAAACCTGAACCTCCAAAACCGTAACCCCCAAAACCGGAACCCCCAAAACCGGAATCCCCAAAACCTGCTACAGACGGCACTTCTGGTAAACTACTGATACCAGTATGACCAATACTTCTACTACTGGGACCAGAACTACAATGACAGAGACCAGAGACCAGGACTACTACTACTGGGACAAGAACTCCTACAGGGACCAATGAGATGAGTATCAGGTGCCAGGACCAGCATTGCTGCTCATATTAGCGACTGTGGCTCAGGTGGTACTATGAGGACCAGGACTACCTCAGTACTAGTATGATCCAGCATGAGTACCTCCATCTAGGCTGCGGCTCAGAATGTTCCTCTTGCTGATGCATCTTGGGAAATGCGGTGCCGGTCTGGAGATCTGAGCGCTGGCTCTGCGACTCTGAATCTGAGTCCGACCGCTGTATCGAAACTTTGAACCCAGATTCAGAAACTTCTTCGGCGTCTCTTCTGGAGACACAAGCCTGAGAGATACACGGGTACGGAGAGAGACAGACGATTTCAGAGCATGTGAGGTCTCCCGTTTGTCAAGATATGTTATGTTACGTCTTGTCACATTACGTCATGTTACGTCGTGTTGCGTTACGTCGTGTTGCGTTACGTCGTGTTGCGTTACGTCGTGTTGCGTTACGTCGTGTTGCGTTACGTCGTGTTGCTTTATGTCGTGTTGCGTTACGTCGTGTTGCTTTATGTCGTGTTGCGTTACGTAGAGTTGCGTCGTGTTGCGTTACGTCGTGTTGCATTACATCTTCTCAGTTCATATCAGGTGATATCATGACATTAATCACTGACCTGAAGAAGGAGTGATGCTCCACACACACTTTCCACAGTCTTTTAGCTGATCGGTGGTTCAGCAGCTTGAAACCAATCGTAGACTCAAACTGGTCAAACTGGAGACAGAGACAGATCAGTGATGTATCGTTGACAGCTGTGTTTCATGATGTCTAGTCGGTCAGTGAAACGTGTCTCCAGTCTCTGATCAGCTGACCGGTGTTTATCTTTATGTCTTCTTCTTCTGTGGTGTTAGGGTGTGTGTGTGTGTGTGTGTGTGTGTGTGCCCGTGTGTGTGTGTGCGTGGGCGTCTCACCTCTCCAGGTCGGATCTTGATGTAGAAGTTGTTCCTTTTGTACGAGAGCTTCAGGATCTTCGGCCACGAGAATCTGTTGATCCTCAGTCGGTCTCTGTAGACCAGGAGGCCGCTACTGCACACGCCCAGCATGATGGCCACACCCTCTGAGTCCTGCACACACACACACACACACTCACACTTTATTCTCTGAATGTCAACATGTTCTGTTTTTATTTATTTTTTAGTCTGTTGTAATAGTTTGAGTTCATTGATGGTTTTATGATCAGTGTTAGTTTGTGTTTTTTATCATAACCTGCAGCAGCTAGCATAGCTACATGCTAACAGCAGCATCAGAGACCACAGAGATGACAGTGATCACTTCCTGTCTGCTCTGAACAAAGGAAACTCTGATGACACACACACCTACACACACAGACATACACACACACACGCACACACACACACACACACACACACAC